GGAGCGATTCGATGTGTACATTGCGGACAATGAAGCGAAGTTTTTATCATTTTTAAAATTCAGTGATAAAGAAGCAGCTTATCAATTGAAGAAATACACCCGGGTGTACCCAGGTATTGTGGTAACTGCATAGAATGTCATAGCTCTGAAGACCTCTTTGCTTCTGGGTGAACGTAGTAGATTTCTTCAGGGCTTGACCGAGTGATGTTTATTCTGTCAGAGTGGGCGGAAAAGAACGGACTGTTCAGCCATCGCCTTCAAAGTCATCATGTATACCTAATTCTAATCCTCTATGCTACTGGGCGCATTAACGGCTACAGTATGAACTGCATGAAGCCATTTTTAGACTGTGTATGTTATTCTAGTTCAAGCTCTTTTATGCGTCTCCTACCGCTTGTATTTTTACTTACTTATTTATTACTATTACATTTTTCAAGTTGGAATTATCGATCAAGCCAGCTGAAGAAGTACCGCAACCAGAACGGCTGGACCAATATAACCAAACAGAGCTTTTCGTCGCCTTTTTTGAGTATATGGCATCTCGCGAGTTCCGCAAGTTAGCCCATATCTCTTTCGCCACACTGGAATACCCATCTATGTTTTCGCGCGGTGAATGGATGCCGCTCCATGAGGTTGGTATTTTTATTAGAATTACATGCTTCGTGACCTTCGAGAAGGTTATTGAAAACAAACTTGCTCTTTCCGTGTTTCACCTCCGTGGGTCTGCGGGGTGAATGGGTTCGCAGCTGAAGTAATGTGGCACTATATCCCATCAGAGGCACTTGGAGACGAAACTGCAGGGTAATGGTACCCGAGTGATATCCCCATACCCTACCCGCGCTGGCCACTGCCAGGCACACGACCTACAATAGCTGAACGAACTACTTGTTTGCGTTCTTTGTTCCTGGTTGATCTCTAACGCGGAATGGATGTTCCGTTGTAGGACCTTGCTGTCAACGCAAGTGCTGCTCATATAGAATGGCGTGGGCTGGGTATAGAGAGCGTACGGTATCACAAGCCTATAACTCCGTTCCCGTGCACTGTTGAGAGTAAAAAGTGGTACGCTACAGCACCTGCGCACCCCTCCACCCCGCTGTGAGAAACATTCGTTCGTCGAGGTGTGATTACAGTTGTGAGGGGCCCAAGAGAAGCGGGAGCTCCTTGCGTGTTCGGAAATTGCACTGCGAGAGTTAAATAATCCACAAAAAGAAGTGGGAAGATGTTCGGGTAGATTTTAGTAGACGTATCCAGGTAGCGAATTAGGGAAATATCAGTTGAGCTACGACGGAATTGTCGACGATTTGAAGATCAGGTAAAGTGGGCGGTGTGGATCATCACGTCCGAAGCGTGGCATCGCATGCGAATCAGTCTGTCTTGGCTAGTTGACTCGATCCACCAGGTAGATGGGGTTATGAGAATCACGTGTCATCCCTTTGAACAGCGAGAAGAGAACTATTTGACATCTGCAACCTAAGCCGGGATTATGAGTAGTCCTTTTTCTGAACACAGATGGTGATTTTCCTGCAATTTTCCATCGCCCGTAGCCGAGTTAGAGCGAGCAACGCGGAAACGGTGTCTTGCTCTCTCAACAACCATCCTTCGCAACGGTGTCTTTTAAAGTGTCATGGATAGTTGCTGTTCAGTTATGAAACAGTAGCTGTCAAGTAATTCCCCAAAGCAGCAAAAAGCAAGAAGAATCCTCGCGAACACCATAAACAATATCCCTCCCCTGACCACCTTAGGCTGCGTTTATACTTTGCGGCAGCGTAGCGTAGCGCTTCCAGCGTACGCCAGCGGCAGTGCCGGGGAGAGGATGGATATCGATCTAGCGTTCCCAGCGTCACCAGCGTAACGCTAGCGTTACGCCAGCGTTTCTCCAGCGTTTCACCAGCGTTTTGCTAGCGTTTGCAGCGGCAGGGGAGTAGAGACTATGGGAGAGCTGGAGGGTACAAAACACATCGATTGCGCGTCTCTGACGGCCACATGCAGCGTAGCGTAGCGCTGGGAGCGCTGCGCTGCCGCAAAGTATTAACGTAGGCCTTCTGTGCAACCCCTGGCTCACAAATCGCTTTTTCGCATCTCCCAGTAGTGGATATCATCCAATGCAAAGAAAGAATACGAAAAACAACAAAAAAACACGGACGGAAAACTCTTGACAATTTTAGTGTTTGCGCCTTCGCACCAAGAAAAGTGCATCACTCGTGATTTTTACGGATTTACCTTGCGAGATGGGTTGCAGTTGACTGTATGTGCTCCAATGAATAAAATGTAATAAAGGAGAGCAGAATTATTTATGGGCACGAGCGCGGTCAGCAAAAAGGACATGCAGTTCCGATTAATGCCCGCCGCCCCAACAAAGAACAACTGAGCGGCCCTCCGCCATCTAGCAAGTGGGCGGTCCAACTGAGCGGGCGTTAGAACTAGAACTTTCAGCGGCTGTAGCTCGCTCCTCGCTCGCTGTGGAGTCGCGAGAGTGGGACAGTCTTTTAGCTTGGGGCTGGACTACTTGCACAAGGAAGGACGACCATGAATTACTTGAGGGGGGCTGTCTTTAAGTCGTCATGAAGTGAATAGTTAGTTAATAGAATAGTCCAACAGCTGGCCATGTGAGCTACTCTTCAGTATTGAGAATTTGTGATGATTTGTTTGACGCGCCTTTAGTTTTTTCTGGCCATGAATAATGATTCAGACGATTCTATAATATTCCATTCAGGCAGCCATCAAGACGTACTACAACATGGTTTTCAACCTGCGATTGGAGGAAATACACGATACTCCTCAACAGTCGTTGACGACCTCACCGATACGTGAATGCGAGCCATTCGTTATTGAGTTGCCTGGTGAGTCCTCGGTGCTCATCTCATGACAGTATCGATACCACTGAAGGCAGAGTTTAAGGCAACCTAACACGTAGAAGTCCTTCGCAAAATATTAATGTGTGTTAGGTAGCCGCCAACAACCCCCATTCGTCGCTCGAAATTTTGTGGAAAGTGTCGGATGTTTGAGATGTACAGTACCCTACTCGAAGGCAGGGGGTTCCCGTC